CTTTGCATTGAGCTATACCCCCAGCTTTTTTTTTTTCTTTTCTTTTTTTTTTTTTGAGGTAGGCTCCCTCTAAGTCAGTAAAGATCCTGAGTCACTAATAAGTTGCCCAAGTGGGGCTCGAATTTGTGATTAAAGTATCCTGCCTCAGCCTCCCAGAGTGCTAGAATTACAGGTGTGCGCAACTACAGTGAGCTTGTTTTATTTTTTATTATTTATTTTGCTTTTTTATTTTTTTGCTGTTGGAAATCGAATTCAGGGCCTCGGGCTTACCAGGCAGGCACTATGTTGCTGAGCTACATCCCTAGCCCATTGTTTGCTTTTTTGTTGTTTTGGTTTTTTTGAGACAGGGTCTTACTTTGTAGTCCAGGTTGGTCTCGAACTCACTGTGTAGCCTCAGCCTTCCAGAGTGCTAGAATTGCAGGTGTGAGCCATCATGCCTGTTTAGCTGGAATTGGCTTTTTAAATTTGGTGCTTTGTTTTGTTTTGTTTGTTTGTTTATTTATTTTGGTCTCTTTGAGACGGGGTCTCACTATGCAGTTTAGGCTGGTCTTGAACTTACTTTGCAGCCCAGGCTGGCCTCGAACTTGCAAGGATCCTCCTGCCACAGCCTCCTGAGTGCCGGGATTAAACAATTTATTAAGGTGAAGTTCACATGAGTCTTAAAAATGAACAGTTGAATAGTGTTTAGTACATTCAGTGTTGTGTGACAGTGTGTGTAATGTAGTTCCACAACATTTCCATCACTTGTTCTCCTTCCCATTTAAGAAAGATCTCCCCACACCCTGTTACCTTTTATTTTGCTCTTTATTTATACTTTGGGTTTCTCATATAAGAGAAACCTTGCAATATTTACACTTGTGTGCCTGATTTATTTCACTTAACATTGTGGTCTCAAGTAGGTTCGTTTTCCTACAGTTGACTCTTTCAGTGGGGAAGGGGACAGAGTCTGAGGGAGCAGGGAGGCATGGGAGGGAAAGGGGACAGAGCAAAATTAAGATGTGCTGTGTATATGTAATCCCCGCATGCGAGAGATAATCATCATGTGCTCCAAACATGTAGCAAAAAAATTGTAAAAAACACATTGTTGTCAATCCAAAATAAAGGGGCTGGGGATTTAGCTCAGTGGCACAGCGCCTGCCTGGCAAGCGCAAGGTCGTGAGTTCGGTTCCTGGTACTGGAAACCGCCCTCCCCCCCAAAAAAATCCAAAATAAAACACACCATCCATTTTAAAGTTTTTCTCCATGTCCCCCTTCCTTAGGCCCTAGCAATCAGTTTTTCTATGGATTGCCTACTCTTGAGTGGTTTTGCTTTTGTTTTTGCTTTTTTTTGTTCCTGGAGAGAAGGTCTCGCTATACAGTTCAGGCTGGCCTTGGGCTCACTGTGTGTGTATAGTTCAGGCTGGTGGTGATCCTCCTCTCTTGGCCTCCCATGCTTGGATTACAGGCATGTGTCGCACTGCTGATTCTCTTGGTGTTTCTTACAAATGGATTTATACATATGGCCTTTTGTTTCTGGCCTCTGTTACAACATAATGATTTCAAGTTCAGCCACTTTGTAGAAGTACATGTCAGTACTTCATTTTCTTGTGGCTGAATAATATTGCAGTGCATGGGTTTACCACTTTGGTTTTTTGTTTTGTTTTGTTTTTGGTACTGGGAATTGAATTCGGACCTTGCCCTTGCCAGGCAGGCGCTGTGCCACTGAGCTATATCCCCAGCCCGGTTTTACCACATTTATTTTTTATTTATTTATTTTTTGGTTATTTATTTATTTACTTATTTATTGTCTTTTTGTTTGTTTGTTTGTTTTCTGGTACCGGGGATTGAACTCACCACCTGCGCTTGCCAGGCAGGTGCTGTGCCGCTGAGCTAAATCCCCAGCCCCTATTTATTGTCTTTTTGAGACAGGGTCTCACTATGTAGTTCAGGCTGGCTTTGAGCTCACTTTGTAACTCAGACTGGTCTTGAACTCCCCAAGATCCTCCTGCCTCAGCCTCTCGAGTGCTGTGGTTACAGGCGTGTGCATTCTTTCATTTGTTGATGGGCATTTGACTATTGTGAATAGTGCTGTATGAAGAATATATTTATCTGTTCGTACTTGAGTGTTTGCAGTTCACGCTGGTCTTGAACTCACTTTGTAGCCCAGGCTGGCCCCGAATTTGCAGCGATGCACCTGCCTCAGCCTCCTGGGTGCTGGGATTATAGGTATGTGCCACCATTCCTATCAAGGTGATTTTTTTTTGATTGGTATTTACAACTTCACCTCCCATTTCACATGGTTTGGGCCTCCAGCATTAATTTTAGGGGAAACAGATACACAGAGGACTTGAAAAGTTAGTACTTTTCATCGCATGATGGATTTTTACTTATTTATTTATTTTTTGGTAATGGAGGTCGAACTCAGGACCTTGTGCTTGCCAAGCAGATGCTTATGCCGCTGAGCTATATCCCTGGCCTCTGGAGTTTTAAATTAACTCATTAATTGTACAAGTTCATGGGGCTCATTGTGACATTTCTAAAAATGTGCATGTTGTGTTCGATTGTGTCCACCCTCCCTAATCTTCTCTTGCCCCCAGATGATGTTTGATGTCACGGTGACGGGTACCGTTAACTGAGGATCCTATTTTGAGCCAGTGAGTGGGCCCGCTCTGCTGGGCGGTGAGAGAGGAAGGAGGAGTCAAGGTCCCATCTGTTAAACTGTTTGTGTTGTAGTCTTTGGAAGCTGTTGTTAAGATTTGTGGATGCTCACTAAGTTATGTAGTGGGCTTTGAAAAAAATCCGGGAGCTGATAAAAGTAAGACTGCTAAAAATAACTGTTAGCAAGTAAAACTCAGGATGGAAAAAGAGCAAACTCTATTATGAATCTTGTTTTTTCTCCTGCTGTTTTTGGTGCATCTGTACTCTCATGACTCAAGTGTTATGACATTGATTTCGAAGTAACACATAGCCTTGGTGAAATCTCAGAGGAGGACTCACAGCATACTCCCAGTCCAGGATATTTTGACTCTTCTAATGCTGGCATGAATATTTCTGAATACTGTTGATATTTATATAATACCAGTGGAGCTAAAAGCTCAGTGTTGGACCGAGCATTTCTCTAGATCTGTTTAGAATAGTTTGTGATGAATGATGTAAATAGTGTTGTAAGACTGTTTGATACAACCATATAATTTGCTGATTTTTTTGTAGCTAAAAATAAAATGCTTCACAACCTTAGAAGATAGAATAATTTAATTTGATGTAGCATGAATTCCCTGAATTAATATGGGATGATTGGTAACATTTTTAATAGACTTTTAGCTCAACTTCAGTTTTTATAGAAAAAAATAAAAAAAAGAATAATGATTTTAGTTTCAGCTTATGATTGAATGTCCTATCTACATATGAAACAAGTCCCAGTGCTCTAAAAAAAGAGAAGTGGTGTGGATAATTCTGAGTCAGGAAAAAAAAATCATTTCTATTTGGCTTCTGAATGAATTATGCATTTTTTTCCTGTAGATTTGTCTTTCTAGTTAGATACTGCTTAGGCTAATATGAAATTGGTTTTCAATCTATTCTCTTAGCTTACACCAATTTATAGTGGACCAGTGGGATGTCAGAAACAAATCAGCCTAAGATTAAAAAATTTGCAGTGGATAATATACAAAGTGGATAATATACATGTGTTTAGTTGAGAATTGGCTACAGATAAGAGACTTCTGCTTTTGTTCCTCTCCTAGCTGTGTATTTTTTTTTAAACACTGTGATTCTGCTTGTAGCAAAGAGCTGCTGAGTTACATCTGCTTCTGCCTAATTAACTCGGTTGGTTGGTGTCAGATGAGAGCTAATTTTGAGATTAAATCGAGGAGTGGGGTGTGTGCTGGTGGCTGGGGGAGGGGTGAAGGAGGATCTGAGGTTGTTTGGAGGTTTTCTATAAGATCAAAATGAAGTTGTCTACAGTTGCTTTTAAATTTATTTTCTGCTTCCGAAGTAGAAATGATCACTACATCCTATGATGTGAGGGGCATCCCTGTGTGCCTCCCATTGTGGAAGCTGGTGCCTGGGTCTTTTAGGTGAAGCTGTTGGTCCTGTCTCTTTAATTCCGTCAGTTCTTAGGTGCCAGGTGGCTTCTGGGACAAATAATGCTGCATGGGAAAGTTAATGCTGACCTTGGAACAACTTCTGATCCCCCACAAATGTTTGCCTGGCTATTTGAATAATAGTGGAATTTTTCTTATAATGGGATTCTGTCTTAGGCATCTTATCACAAGCTTGATTTTTAAAATTTGGAGTACACATACTTGCTTCAGCAGTACATATCTACAAATTGGAATATGCGGAGAAGATTAGCATTGCCTCTGAGCAAGGATGACTTGCGCATTCTTGACACTTTCATGTTTTTATGCTGATGATTTGTGAAAAATAAATTTGTGAAAATAAAAATAAAATTGTGAAAATAAATTTGTGAAAAAATAAAATGTGGAGGACAGATCTGGCCTAATAAAGTGAAATTAAGCCTGAGGCAGAAAGCCCTCAAGTTCAAGGCAAGCCTAGGCAATTTAGGGATACCCTGTCTCAAAATAAAAACTAAAAAAGGATGGGAAATGCAGCCCAGTACAGAGGCTCTGGGTTCAATTGCTAGTACCATGCAAAAAGTGAAATTCACTTCTTTGGGTACTTTCCTTGGGGCTTTCTTTACTGTCCTGAATTCTGTGTTCATAAATATACTCTAATGGTTTGAAAGAATTAATATGTTGCCACGTATAGCCGGAGAGATAGCTCAGTGGCATAAGCACCTGCCTGGCAAGTACAAGGTCCTGATTTCGATTCCCGGTATCAAAAAACCCAAAAACATGCTTACCAAGTGTAGTGACTGGTAACACTGCAGCTGTTTGCATTAGTTGTGCAGTGCTGGGTGTGGAGTTGTGTTTGTTTGTAATAGTTGGAGAGCTCTGTAGATGGTTGCTGAATTAGAGTTGTCCGTATGCCCAAGTAAATATTTACTCTTTTCCTTTTGACAGACTTGCCTGAAGACCTGGACAATCTTCATTTTTGTCACGGACTGTTAAAAACATTTGGAGTTCCAATTCTGGTATTTTCCCTTCTTTTATTACATTTTTAAGATATAAAATGTCAGTCTTACTGAAATGTGTCGGTAATGGATATGAATGATTATTTTGATAGTGGGTACAGACTGTGGTAAAAACTCGTCGTGAAGGTACCTTTTGGGTATTTGTTATGAAATGTGCTTTGTGTTAATGTATGCCCATGTGCTTGTGTAACCAAAATGTCTAAAGGCAACTGCAATATTGGCCACTTTCCTGTGACCTCTTCTCTTGCTTCTTGAAGTTATATTTTGTGCAGTCAAATTAAATTAGTTGTGATTCCTTCTGAATAAATGATGAAAGATGAAAGAATTACTTGGATACAGTGGAATGCCTTCTAATGAACATGTGCCAAACCATTGCACTTTGGAGAGATCAGTTTCCTGTTCTGAACTTACTGACACAGAATGATTCTTATGTTCTATCCTGACAGTGGTTGTTCGGCGAAAGCCAGCAACTTCATTCTGAAACACGCTGTGTTCCAAGCCTAACATTTCTGTCAGTGATTTATAGGATGACACAAAAGGGAGTGCTTATTAGATTTGCAGATGACACTGATGACAGAATCAAGATTCAAAACAGTCTTTAGCAGTTTGGAAGATAAACTCAAACCAACAAGATGAAATTGAACTATAATAAACTTTAAATCCCAGCATTTAAATTGGTACGAGGAAAAGATGGGAAGATGCACTTTGACAGCAGTTCTGAAAACAGATCTGGCCATTTTAGTTGGACTACGTACTGAGCATAGCTGGTGTGGCAGGGCTGGTAAGGACATTCCTGTGATTTGGGGTTGCATGTATAATTGAATAAGGCTTGGACTGCTGAATTTTAGGGTAAACATTAGACAGAGTAGTGAGCAAACTAGCTAAGTGCCCAGTGCTGGGAGACTATGATATGGAAGGGTCGAGGAAGCTGGATGTCAGTGGTTTAGAAAATGGGGGTTGGTGGTAGAGTGGGGTTTGGGTGGTGTTTATTTTTGAGATAGTGTGGCTGTGTAGCTTAGGCTGTCCTTGAACGCACAAGGTAGCCCAGGCAGACCTAGAACACACTATCCAGTCTCGACCTTTCCAGTGCTGGGGTTGCAGTCATATTCTACCATGCAGAGCTGTTAGTGTTTTTTTTTTGTTTTTATTTATTTATTTATTTGTGTTTGAGATAGGGTCTTATTGTACAGCCCAGGCTGGCTTTGAACTCATGCCAATCCTCCTGCTTTAGCCTTTTGAGCATTGGGAGTACAGGTGTGTGCCAGCTAATAAGTGGTTGTTGGTTTTTTTTTTTTTTGTCTTTCTGAGACAGGGTCTCACTATGCAGTTCAGGCTGGCCTTGAGCTCACTTTGTAGCCCAGGCTGGTCTCGAACTCACAACAGTACTCCTGCCTCAGCCTCCCGAGTGCTGGGATTACAGGCATGTGCCACTACTCCTGGCTTATAAATGGTTTTTGAAAGATACTTGTTTTTAGATATTTGAAAGCCTGTCTGGCCAAACTGTTTGAGGAAAGGTATTAGGTATATTCCTATCTCTATAAATAATCAGAAATAGCTTTTTTCTTTTTTTCTTTTCTTTCTTTCTTTCTTTCTTTCTTTCTTTCTTTCTTT